CTGGGCACAGAGAACAAAGAGTAAAAAGGACCAGCGGGGCTTCTAGCTGTGGAGGTGTCGGGGAAAGAGAAACCTGTGTCGTCCAGAACATGGGATCTCAGGGAGCTTCCTGATCCAAATCTGCCCTCCATAACTGGGCCTTCTCCTGCCTGTCACTTTCACTGGCTCCCCAATGTCCAGTCAAGTAGGAGACATCTCACACCAGTGCTCAGGACCCCGCCAGCCAGGTCTCCCCTACCAATCTGGCCTTAATTCTCACAATTCCCGCCTACCCTCCAAACCTTTGTTCCTGCTGCTTCTCTCACTTAGAAATACCCCTAGAATTCGCTCCCACATCCTGCCACGCAGGAACCCCGACAGGTCTTTCTCCTCTCTCAACAACTCCTGGAATCCTTCCGATTCTCTGGCCAGAATGCTTGCCTTGTCTCAACACACCAGTTTCTGTTCTGCACCCCCAGGGGAATACCAACCTGCCCTTATCACCATAATTGACACAGGGGCTGCGTCCCCCCAGGCCAGAAAGTCCATCTCCCACCAGAATGGGCTGCACTCCCCAGCCCAATACCAGGGCCCCCGCCTCTGCGCAGAGGTCTCCCAGGCACCCCACCTGTAAGCAGCATGAGCCAGGGAAGCAGGAGGAGGGCAGCCATGTGGAGGGGCGTGTGGGCTCGCAGCAGAGCCGACAGTGCAGGGCCCAGCAGCACAGAGACGTGGAGCAGGACACCGGCGGCGTGAAGCAGCAGGCACAGGAAGGGCCGGTAGTTGCTGAAGCCCACGCAGCGGCCCAGCAGGCGGCAGTGGTGGTCCCGACGTAGGATGCAGACGCGGCAGGCAGAGCAGTGTCCACTGCGTGGGGGCACCTGGCTTTGGCACTGGTAGCAGTAACTGCAGGAAGGAACCACAGGGTCAGTTTCCCTAGCAACTTGAGTGCCCCATATCATGCATGGGGCAGCCCCAGAGCCCATCCTGGGGAAGCAGGAACAGTCATTTGCCCTGCTTAACCTCAATTTCTTTTTTTTTTTTGTTTCGATGGAGTTTCACTCTATTGCCCAGGCTGGAGTACGGTGGAGTCATCTCAGCTCACTGCAACCTCCACCTCCCTGGTTCAAGCGATTCTCCTGCCTCAGCCTCCCAAGTAGCTGGGACTACAGGCGCCCGCCACCGTGCCTGGCTAATTTTTTGTATTTTTAGTAGAGACGGAATTTCACCATGTTAGCTAGGATGGTCTCAATCTCCTGACCTCGTGATCTGCCCACCTCAGCCTCCCAAAGTGTTGGGATTACAGGCGTGAGCCACAGTACCCGGCCATAAGCCTCAATTTCTTTTCAGGTAAATGCAGGCTAAACAAGATGTCCTAGGCCCTTCTAGTTCTAGCACCCCAGGTCTGAGGCCTCCTCCAGCCCTAACATCCCCCATCCTGAGACCTCTCTCAAGCTACTAACATCCAGCAGTAAATCCCTCCCTTCCACCATGGACACTCCTTTGTCCAGGTCACTAGGAACTCCCTGGATTACTGCAATGCCTCTCAACTGGTCTCCCGATTCCACCTTTGCCCCACCTCATACAGTCTTACCCCAGCAACCAAACTGACCCTCCTCTGCTTAAAACCCTCCATGATTCTCCAATTTATTTCAAAGCCTTCCATGTCCTACAGCATCCTTCCATCTGTGACATCTCTTCCCCTCTCTTACTCCACTCCAGCCACACTGGCCTTCTTGCTGTTCCGGGAACATGCTACATATACAACTGCGTCAGAGGCTTTGCTTCATCTGTTCCCTCTGCCTGGAACACCTTTCCCTCGGATTCCCACATGGCTAACTCCCCACCCCCTCCAAGTTTTTGCTCAAATGACTCCTTCTTTATGAGGTCTACCTTGACCACCTATTTATTTTTATTACTTTAAAAATTAGCCGGGCGCGGTGGCTCAAGCCTGTAATCCCAGCACTTTGGGAGGCCAAGGCGGGTGGATCACAAGGTCAAGAGATCGAGACCATCCTGGCCAACATGGTGAAACCCCGTCTCTACTAAAAATACAAAAAATTAGCTGGGCATGGTGGCGCGTGCCTGTAATCCCAGCTACTCAGGAGGCTGAGGCAGGAGAATTGCCTGAACCCAGGAGGCGGAGGTTGCGGTGAGCCGAGATCGTGCCATTGCACTCCAGCCTGGGTAACAAGAACGAAACTCCGTCTTAAAAAAAAAAAAAAAAAAAATTAATTTGACTGGGCGTGGTGGCTCACGCCTGTAATCCCAACACTTTGAAAGGCCAAGGATTACAAGGTCAGGAGTTCGACACCAGCCTGGCCAATACGGTGAAATCCCATCTCTACTAAAATTACAAAAATTAGCTGGGCATGATGGCGTGTACCTGTGGTCCCAGCTACTCGGGAGGCTGAGGCAGGAGAATCACTTGAACCCAGAAGGCAGAGGTTGTGGTGAGCAAAGATCGTGCCACTGCAATCCAGCCTGGGCAACAGAGTAAGATTCCATCTCAAAAAAAATTTTTTTTTAATTTTAGTGCTCACTTCGGCAGCACATATACTAAAATTGGAACGATACAGAGATGATTAGCACAAGGATGACACGCAAATTCATGAAGCATTCCATAATGAAAATAATTTAAAAAAAGAAAAAAAAATTTAAAGACAGGGTCTTGCTACGGTATCCAGGTTGGGGTGTAGTGGCTGTTCACAGGTGCAATCTGTGAACACATCACTACAGCCTCAGCTTCTCAAGTAGCTGGAACTACAGGCAAAAGCCTGTGCCTGGCATAAAATGTGTGTGTAGAGCCTGTTACCTGGTGTAATTTGTATTTTCTAATTGACAAATTCCAGTTGTATACACTTATGGGATACCAAGTAATGTTATGATTTATTAATACAACTTGGAATAATTTTTTTTTGAGACAGAGTCTTGCTCTGTAGCCCAGGCTGGAGTGCAGTGGTTCAATCTCTGCTCACTGCAACATGTACTTCCCAGGTTCAAGCAATTCTCTTCCCTCAGTCTCCTGAGTAGCTGGGATTACAGGCGCATCCCACCACATCCGGTTAATTTTTTTGTATTTTTAGTAGAGACAGGTTTTCACCATGTTGGCCAGGCTTGTAAACTTCTGACCTCAAGTGATCTTCCTTCCCACCTTGGCCTCCCAAACTACAGGTGTGAGCCACCACACCTGGCCTGACCACCTATTTATTTATTTATTTATTTTGAGATGTTGTTTCGCTCTTGTTGCCCAGGCTGGAGTGCAATGGCGCAATCTCAGCTCACCAAAACCTCTGCCTTCCGGGTTCAAGCGATTCTCCTGCCTCAGCCTCCCAGGTAGCTGGGATTACAGGAATGCGCCACCACACCTGGTTTTGTTTTTTGTTTTTTGGGGTTTTTTTGTATTTTTAGTAGAGACAGGGTTTCTCCAAGTTGGGCAGTCTGAGCTCGAACTCCTGACCTCCGGTGATCCACCCACCTCGGCCTCCCAAAGTGCTGGGATTACAAGCATAAGCCACTGTGCCCAGACTAACCACCTATTTAATACTGAAACTTGCAACCCCTTTACCCTGATCTACTTCTTATTTCCATACTACTATCACCTTCTAGCATTCTATATGATTTTCTTATTATTCCTCTAGTTTCTCATCTGCCCCCTAAATGAGCTCCAGATCAAGAATCTGTTCTATTGTACCCTTAGTACCTTGCACCTAGTAGGTGCCCAGTAAGTAGTTGTGAGTGAATAAATAACAGTCGTTCTAGCTCTTCCATTCCAGGTTCTAAAAAAATTTCTGGCTCTAACAACCCGAATCCTAATGTAAGCCGGTTCTAACATCTCCAGTCTTGGGGCCCTTCCGCCCTGGCAACGGCTCCCACTTCTCCCCCCGGATTCCACGCCCCACTCACGCCCAGCCCTGGCCCAGACCGCGGCCGGCCAGCATCACGCCGCGGATGCTGGGATCCGAGCGTAGGAAGAGCCCCACGTTGCCCAGCAGGTTGAGCAGCTGGAAGGCGGCCAACGCCAGCTGCAAGGCCCGGGCCAGGGGTCCCAGCGGGGGCGGCCCGGGACCGACCACCAGCACGTAAGCCAGCTCCAGACCCACGGCCGTGGCCCACAGCGCGGTGAGCACGAGAGGCAGCCCCGCGGGCGCCCCATCTGCGCCCTCAGCCGCCCACGGCTGCCCCATGGCCTGGACACTGCAGCAATCGGAGCCGGAGGACTCGACCGCTTCCGTATTAGGGAGGGAATAGCGGCAGACGGACGTCTGCTACGGCCAATAAAAGCTTCGAAGGGGTGCGGCAAGCGCTCAGAGTCTCAGGGAGCGGCCGACCAACGGGGCGAGTTGATTGGGCCGACGGACCAGCAGGAGGCCCTCGGAATCCCGCGGCAGTGGAGCACGGAAGACGCCGCGGAGTGATCGGCCCGCCCACCTGGGAGGCCCCGCCCCCCGCCGAAGCCCCGCCTGCTGGCGCCGCCGGCCAGGCGCGCCCGGGGGATTGAGTTGCAGCCTGGGCGGCATCGGGGTTTCCCGGCTCAGCAAATTCTCTCCTACTCCTCCTAGTCGCCCCGATATTAATAGCCCTGCCGCGGCCCATCCAGCTGGCTCGGAGCCGTTCCCCATGCCCGGTGTCTCCCTTCATCACCCCAGAAAACATGCGAAACAGCTCGGCGCCTTCGTGTTCCTGACTGTGAAATGGGGATAGGGCTCCGTGTCCCACCATCAAGGGGCTGAAAGAGGCTAGCCAGGAGCGCCGCAGGGCAGCCGCTAGAGCGGCCCGCGGCCGCTACTATTATCCGCCTTTCCATTGTGGTGAGGAGGAAACAGAGAGGTCCCGTGGATTTCCCAAGGTCACACAGCACCCCCGCAGCGGAGCGAGAATGCAAACCCAGGATCTCCGCCGCGAGATCCATCCCGGCGCCCCCCAGCTCCGCAGTCCCTGGCCCCAGGACAACCCCTTGCCAGGTCTAGCCCGAGCTCCTTCGCCCCATCCGGCCCCTCCCTCCTCCCCCATATTTAGTGCGAATTCGATCCGGGGCCGGATTGGACCCTACTTAACGGGGCCCGGGTGTCCGAGAGCGCGCGGAGCGGAGCGAAGCCAGGAGCCGGAGCAAGATGATGATGGTTATGCAGCCTGAGGGTCTGGGGGCCGGGGAGGGGCCCTTCGCGGGCGGCGGCGGGGGCGGCGAGTACATGGAACAGGAAGAGGACTGGGACCGCGACCTGCTGCTGGACCCGGCCTGGGAGAAGCAGCAGCGGAAAGTGAGTGTTCGCCCATTTCCCGAAAGCAAAACCGAGGCCTGAGAGGCCGGGCGGTTTGTCCTGGGCATCTCAGCAGGGCAGGGGCAGAGGCTGTCTTTAACCTAGAGTGCCAGTCCCCAACCCAGGCTCTGCCCATCAGCTGTCTGCTGTCCCCAGGGCTGGAGGAGAGGACTGGGAGCCCTCAAGAGGGGTTTAGAATGACAAGAGAGTTTCTGGGGTCCCCACCCCACAGCGTTCATTCCCCTGGGCTCACTGCCCCACTTCTGCTGGTCAAAACAGGTTGGGCAAAGTCCAGGAGATCCAAGTTTCGGGGTTCAGGAAGAAGAATCTTTCTCCCACCACTCTCTAGTTAAATATTCCCAGGCCCCACCCTGAGGGCTTGCAGCCAGGCAGCCAGTGGACTTGGGAGTGTGGTGGGGTGAGGAGGGTCCTCTCAGACCTCTTCCCATCTCCAGGGTGGGGTTCATAGTCGCTGTATCTCATTTAACAACTGAAGAAACTGAAGCCCAGAAAGGAGCAGAGACAGGCCTCAAATCACAGACTGTCAGACTTCAGGACCCCATAACCTGAGGATCTTTATCCCTTGCCCCACCCCCACTCTTTCCCAAGATACTCCAGGGGCCCTGAGTCTGCTGAAAAGGCCACAGGTCAGGGATGGGAGACCCGGGTCCCCTTACGCAGTAACCTGACTCTCTGGCCAGATGGACACGTAGTGCTGAGGCAGCACCTCAGGGACCCAGCCCGTTGGGCACTCAGGGCCCCTCCCTCCCTGAGCTATTTTCACTCCCAGACTTTCCCAAGTGGAGGGGGCAAGACACCTGGGTTCCCAAAGAGAAAATGATCCAGGCCAGAGGGAGAAAAGTTTGGGAAGTGGCAGGCCAGGGGTAACTAAGAAAGCACCATGAGCCATTAGACCCTGCTCAGCATGTACCAACACTGTATGACATGAGGAAAGGGAAGGGTACCGGGGCACTCAGTGGAATTTGCAGGACCTGAGAATTCTAGAATTTAGAATCAGAACACTTCCGCTGGGTTAGATAACAGGAGATGACCCCAAGGGCCAGGACGCTCCGCTGACTCGGCTGGGCTTCCCCAGGTGACAGACCTCCCGTTAGGCTCCCTTGCACCTGTCTCCAGCCTGGCTGCAGTCCCAGGTTCTGCAATTTCCCGGTGATGTCATCCCCGTCCTTGGCTCCAGCTGCCACCTGTTCTGCAACATCTCTCTCTACCCCCTCCCACCCGGGCCTCTCCTGGATCCAGGTCTTCATGCCCCTCATATGACACATGCCAGTCTGTGACTTGCCTTTGTCACCTAACAAAATATCAGAAACATCTGTTCATCGCAACTTGCAGTCACCATCTCATCCATTCATTCAACGGCTGCACAGCAGAGAGGCTCTGAAAATCAATCAGCATCCCCTGTAGTTGGACATGTGGCTCATGTCTTTCTCGTCCAGCGTTGTTTATTGCAAGGTGGTAATAAACATCCTTGTGCTCTGCTTTAGCGCTGCCCTCTCCCTGTTCCTCTACGCTCCCTTTCTCCCCAGTGACTCCTCCATCCAAGGGCTTCCTTCACAGTCTTGGGGCAGCATGCCCACCTCCTCCCACCTGATGACTTACTATCTGCCAGCACTGTTTTAGGTGCTGGGATTCGGCAGCAGACAAAATAAAGCCCCTGCCACAGGGAGCTTACATTCCATCATTTCTGTCTCATCCACCCAATCCTGCCTTGTCCCCCTCACTGACACCCTTCCTCTCTTGCCCTGGTCCCAGTTACTGCCTCCTCACTTCTCCCCTCTGCCGCGCCAACCCATTTAGCTCCATTCTGCAACCAGCATGGACAGTTCTGCCCACCTCCCTCTTGCCTGAGGCTTCCCTGACTCCCTGTTGCCCTCAAGATCAAATTTAATCTCCCCGGCTTAGCATCCAAGATCATGCATGACCTGGCCCCTGCTGCCCCTCCGGCCCGCCTCTTACCACTTATGCCCCAACACCCCCAGCTCCATTCCAGCAGTGCCCAGATCCTTGTAGTCTGACAAATGTGGCAACTGTTTCTCTCAGCCACCAAGCACTTGCCCACATAGCTGCCCCTGCCTGAAATGCCCTTGCCTGCCCTTCCCTGCCTGAATAATTCCTGCCCATCACAGTTCTGATCAAATACTGGCCTTCCCCAAGAGGCTCCCACGCTGATCTGCAGCGTCCCTCCCATAAACTCCTCAGCAACTTCTTCCAGCACTTCTCAGATCAACATGACTCTTGGATAGACTATGAGCTCCCTTAGGGCAGGAACCACATCTCATTCAGAGTCATGTTTGGCACCACCCAGACCTGCCTGTCCCCCTGCCTTTTCCAGATCAGAGCATCTCAGACTCCAGGGTTGGAGGGAACTGTGGGAAATCTAAATTGCCCTATTCAGTGCTTGGGTTCCCATCAAGTTGTACTCAGCACCTACTTTAATTACACAAATGGGGAGACCAATCCCCAAAGAGGGAAAGGGGCTGACCCTAGATCACAGAGAGTGAGTGGCTCAGCTGGACTTGGAGCTCACCCTGACTCTACCAAGGAGTCTCTGGAAAGACAGAATTCAGAACTCGAAGGGCAGCAGGTTGGCAGAAACTTGTGTACCAAGTGCAATGTCACCCCTATCCCCAACAGACACACAGCCCTGTACCATCCCTCCCATCTCAGATGGAGCCTGAGGCTGAGGCTGACTCTTGGGGAAGCGGTGGTCAGTCACCCCGGGAAATGAGTTCAGACCAGGCATGGTAGCTCATGCCTGTAATCCCAACAGTTTGGGAAACCAAGGCAGGAGGATCACTTGAGCCCAGAAGCTTGAGGCAAGCCTGGGCAACATAGGAAGACCCCGTCTCTAAAAAAACAAAATGAGATCAAGCTAGGCCTGACCCTTACCAGCTGATCCTCCAACAGCCGGCCGAGTCCTTGCACACTTAAGGTCTACTTGGAGGCCAATTTACAACAGCCCTGGAAGGTCAATGGGGCTAAGAAAATAGAAACACAGAGATAGTCCCTTAGACAAAACCCTGAGGGCCAGATCTAGGAGTTTTCAGATTTCAGAAAGGCAGTATCACCCTGCACTGGTCCTTATAGTTCAAGACCTCAGAGGGCCCCACACTTTGAATGTGTTAACATTTTCTAGGGCCCCCTCTAGTATTTAAGACCAGCTAAGGCCAGGCGCGGTGGCTCAAGCCTGTAATTTCAGCACTTTGGGAGGCTGAGGCGGGTGGATCACGAGGTCGAGAGATCGAGACCATCCTGGTCAACATGGTGAAACCCCGTCTCTACTAAAAATACCAAAAAAACTAGCTGGGCGTGGTGGCGCGTGCCTGTAATCCCAGCTACTCAGGAGGCTGAGGCAGGAGAATTGCCTGAACCCAGGAGGCGGAGGTTGCGGTGAGTCGAGATCGCGCCATTGCACTCCAGCCTGGGTAACAAGAGCGAAACTCCGTCTCAAAAAAAAAAAAAAAAAACCAGCTAAGGCTGAAGTGCTGATGGGAGGATGTCCAAACTGGAACCTGCATGGGTCCCAGATCCTATTTCTCCCCTCCCAGGAAAACTAAAGCTCAGAGAGGGAAAGGGACTGGCCCAGGATGCACAGCAAGTCAGTGGCTGAGCTGAGCTGAGACTTGAATTCAGAAACACAAGGCTCTGAGACGACCTACCCTGAGTGAGGAGACAGGACCGTGCCCCACATCCCCCAGACCTGGTTGTAGGGTCTGAGTGCTATCCTCTGCCCCCAGACCTTCACTGCCTGGTGCAACTCACACCTGCGCAAGGCGGGCACCCAGATCGAGAACATCGAGGAAGATTTCCGCAATGGCCTCAAACTCATGCTGCTCCTAGAGGTCATTTCAGGTGAGGATGGGAAATCAGTGCACCTGGGCCCCAGGACCCAGGAACATCTGGACAGCAGGGGCAATAGGGTGGCGGAATGTTTGACGGGACTTGGCAGGGAGGGGAGAGTTTGTGGGCAATGGTTTCAGCTGCCTCTAATGACCTTTGGCCCTTGGACTCTCCTCTTATACCCAGGAGAGAGGCTGCCCAGGCCAGATAAAGGCAAGATGCGCTTCCACAAAATCGCCAACGTTAACAAGGCCCTGGACTTCATTGCCAGCAAGGGGGTTAAGCTGGTGTCCATTGGTGCTGAAGGTGAGGAGGTAGCAAGAAGGGTCGTGGGCAGGGAGTGGGAGCCTCTCTTGATATCAACAGATCACCTCTGTGAGTCTCAGTTTCCTCATCTCAACAATGGGAATAATCCCTGCCTCGCCAGAGAGCCTGTAAAGAGCCAATCTACCAGCCAGGCCTGGTGGCTCACGCCTGTAATCTCAGCACTTTGGGAGGCCGAGACAGGAGGACCACTTGAGGCTAGGAGTTCGAGACCAGCCTAGCCAACATGACAAAACCCCCATCTCTACTAAAATTATAAAAATCAGCTGGTTGTGGTGCTACACATATGTAATCCCAGCTACTTGGGAGGCTGAGGCACGAGAATCGAATGAACCTGGGAGGTGGAGGTTGTAATGAGCCAAGATTGCACCACTGCACTCCAGCCTGAGCAGCAGAGCAAAACACAGAGATAGTCCCTTAGACAAAACCTGACCCCTTCCCTTTGCTTGAACAACACATAGTTTTAGGATCAGTTCCTTTGATTCCTTTATAGTGTGTTGGAGGAAAAATAAATAAAAAAGAAAAAGAAGAGCAAATATACCTAAAGAGGCAGCGCAGCCTCTGAACCCTAGTAAGAGTTCAGTGAAATCGTTTCTAAGTAACAAGCCAGGCATGGAAGCACGTGCCTATAGTCTCAGCTACTTGGGAGACCCAGGCAAGAGGACTACGTGAGCCTGGGAGCTGGGAGACCAGCCTGGGCAACATACCAAAACTCCATCTTGGCCGGGCACAGTGGCTCATGCCTGTAATCTCAACACTTTGGGAGGCCAAGGAGAGTGGATCACCTGAGGTCAGAAGTTCAAGACCAGCCTGACGAGCCAACATGGTGAAACCCCATCTGCACTAAAAATGCAAAAAACTGCTGGGCATGGTGGCACACACCTGTAATCCCAGCTACTTGGTAGGCTGATCCCAGCTCCTCAGTAACCTGGGAGGCGGAGGTTGCAGTGAGCCAAGATCACACCATTGCACTCCAGCCTGGGTGACAAGAGTGAGACTCTGTCACACGCACACACACAAAAAGAGAAAAGTCTGGGCCGGGCGCGGTGGCTCAAGCCTGTAATCCCAGCACTTTGGGAGGCCGAGGCGGGTGGATCACGAGGTCGAGAGATCGAGACCATCCTGGTCAACATGGTGAAACCCCATCTCTACTAAAAGTACAAAAAATTAGCTGGGCATGGTGGCACGTGCCTGTAATCCCAGCTACTCAGGAGGCTGAGGCAGGAGAATTGCCTGAACCCAGGAAGCGGAGGTTGCGGTGAGCTGAGATCGCGCCATTGCACTGCAGCCTGGGTAACAAGAGCGAAACTCCGTCTCAGAAAAAAAAAAAAAAAAAAAAAGAGAAAAGTCTATCTCAAAACAAATCTCAAAATCAACCAACTAAACAAAAACAAAAATAGATATGGCTGCGCACGGTAGCTCACGTTTGTAATCCCAGCACTTCAGGAGACTGAGGTGGGCGGGTCATTTGAGGTCAGGAGTTCGAGACTAGCCTGGCCAACATGGTGAAACCCCATCTCTACTAAACATGCAAAAAAATTAGCTGGGTTTGGTGGTGCACACTTGTAGTCCCAGCTACTCAGGAGGCTGAGGCAGGAGAATCGCTTGAACCCAGGAGACGGAGGTTGCAGTGAGCCAAGATTGCACCACTGCACTCCAGTTGGGGTAACAGAAGGATACTCCATTTCAAAAAGAAAAGAAAAGAAAAGAAAAACAGATGCTTACTGAGCATCTGCTAGGTGCCCACCTACTAGGTGCCAGCCCTGAGATGGGGGACAAGGGCCAGAAGGCTGAGCAGGGGGAAGGTGAGTTGAGGTCAGATAGCACAGGCCTTGATTGCCAGGCAGAATCTGTCCCCTGACCCCTGCCCTGCAGAGATCGTCGATGGGAACCTGAAGATGACCCTGGGCATGATCTGGACCATCATCCTTCGCTTCGCCATCCAGGACATCTCGGTAGAGGGTGAGCAATGGGGAATGAGGTCGGGGCAAACTGCAATGGCTTGGGCCTATAATCCCCGCATTTTGGAAGGTCGAGGCAGGCGAATCACTTGAAGAATCGCCCAGAAGTTCAAGACCAGCCTGGGCAACATGATGAAACCCCATCTCTACAAAAAATGCCAAAAATGAAAATTCAAAAAAAATAGCTGGGCATGATGGCATGTGCCTGTAGTCCCAGACTAGGGAGTCTGTGGTAGGAGGATCGCTCAAGCCTGGGAGGTTGAGGCTGCAGTGGACCATGACTGTGTCACTGTACTCCAGTTGGATGACATAGCAAGAGAAGAAAGGAAGGAAGGAAAGAAAGAAGGGAGAGAGGGAGGGAATGAAAGAAAAGTAGGCCGGGCGCAATGGCTCACACCTGCAATCCCAGCACTTTGGGAGGCCGAGGTGGGTGGATCACCTGAGGTCAGGAGTTCGAGACCAGCCTGACCAACATGGAGCAACCCCATCTCTACTAAAAATACAAAATTAGCCAGGCATGGTGGTGCATGCCTGTAATACCAGCTACTCGAGAGGCTGAGGCAGGAGAATCGCTTGAACCTAGGAGGCAGAGGTTACAGTGAGCTGAGATTGCGCCATTGCACTCCAGCCTAGGCAACGAGAGCAAAACTCTGTTTCAAAAAAAAATTACTAGCTGGGCATGGTGGCGTGTGCCTGTAATCCCAGCTACTCAGGAGGCTGAGGCAGGAGAATTGCCTGAACCCAGGAGGCGGAGGTTGCGGTGAGCCAAGATCGTGCCATTGCACTCCAGCCTGGGCAACAAGAGCGAAACTCCGTCTCAAAAAAAAAAAAAAAAAAATTTAGGGTAAGAGGGATGACCCAGACCCATTGCCAATGAATTCTCCCCCCTGCTCCCCACCCAGAAACCTCGGCCAAGGAAGGCTTGCTCCTGTGGTGCCAGAGGAAGACAGCACCATATCGCAACGTGAACGTGCAGAATTTCCACACCAGGTCTGTCAGCTGGTTAGCAAATGTATCTGGGCCTCTGTGGGGCACTGGGCGCAGAGAGGAGTCCTCTCTGGTCAGTGAAGGGCACTGAGCTGTTCCCTGTCACAAGCCACAGGGGAGGAAAAGGTCACAGCACAGTTCCTAGAACAGTATCTGAAGAGAGGACTCAGTAATGTTGAGTGGAATGGAATTGAATCCAGGAGGGTCCCAGTTAACTCCTGGAGGAGGGAGTGTTTGACACATCCCTGGAAGGCCATGCCAGCCAGAGGGAAGCTGGAAGCCAAAAACATCTAAAAACTGGTCAGGCCTAAGCTTGGATATGTGACGGAATCGTGATGGCCTTGCAGGAGATGGTCCAGATCTGGTCATCAAGGGCCTCAAATGCCAACCTAAGCGGTTTGTGCTTTACTCCATTTTACAGATGAGACTGTCCTTCTGGGGGGTACTCCTGGGCCAAGGGGAGAACGAGGCCTCAGCTTGAACCCAGGCCTGACCCCCCTCTTCTCTCTGTCCAGCTGGAAGGATGGCCTGGCCCTCTGCGCTCTCATCCACCGACACCGCCCCGACCTCATCGACTACGCCAAACTGCGAAAGGTAGGTCTCCACCACCCCAGTCCACGACCTCTGCCTTCAGCTGACCTTTCACCTCCCTCCCTCACACCCATCTAGGATGACCCCATCGGCAACCTGAACACTGCCTTCGAGGTGGCAGAGAAATACCTGGACATCCCCAAGATGCTGGATGCAGAAGGTGAGAGTGAGCTAGCCCAGGGGAGGGCTCCAGTGGGCCTGGTACAAGTTCCACACCTTTGCACTGCCCTTTTCCTCCTCCTGAGATGCTCTGACCGCCCCTACCCCACTCCTGGGTCACAGTCCCCCTTCTCTAGGAGTCCTCTGTCTTGTCCCCTGCCCCATTCCCCAAGGAGCACCAGCCTCTCCTGCCTCTCCCCTATGTAATATACCTTCTGCCTCACATCCCAGTTACCTGGGTCACCTGGGATCATGCTGGTCCCCCAAGTCTGGCAGCTCCCCTGGGGGACATCCTTCCTGTGGTCCCCATGCCTAGGCAAGGCAAAAGTCAACTGAAGCAGCAAACACTTTCTGAGCATCTACTATGCATGATGCCTGGGCTGTGTGGCCACCGCTGGAGGAGAACTTGTTCTGGCCCCAAGGAGCTTGTGGCCTGGGGGAAAGAGACAGAGGAAGGTATAGAATAGTTCAAGGCACAAAGCAGTGTGGATCAGCCCCTCACGAGGGGCACAGTGGCTACCCACTCACACTCACCCACTCCTTCACACTTTTCTCACCTCAAGGAGAGGCGGGGGGGAAGTTGCTGAGCCCTGGGGTGAGGAGAGAGGGCTTCAAGGAAGAAGATGACCCTGGGCTTGGGTGGCTGGCAGCTGGTGGCCATGACTAGATGCCTCCAACTCTCCCACCCAGAGTGAGTTCTCTGCCTGGGGAGGAACCCCTGCCTTGGCCAGTAGATACCTTGCTGTCCTCTCCTAGACATTGTGAACACCCCAAAGCCAGATGAGAAGGCCATCATGACCTATGTGTCCTGCTTCTACCATGCCTTTGCCGGGGCTGAGCAGGTAAGAGGGCCCAGCTGCTGCTGCCTGTGCTGGTGGACCCAAGAACCCAACCTTGGCTGCAGTCCAACATTGAAGGCACCAGACCATGCGGGTGGGAGTGCCCCTGTCCCAGCTGCACACACTCAATCCTCAGAGAGCTCAGGAACAGAGGACCCTGGTTTGGAAACTCCCTCCCTACCTAAGAGCCGTGCGCCCCCGTCCCTTTCCCGATTTGCAGGTACTCCATTTGGTTTGTTTTTTTGTTTTTTGAGACAGGGTCTCACTCTATCACCTGGAGTGAAGTGGCGTGATCACGGCTCATTGCAGCCTTGACCTCAGTCTCCTGCCTCAGCCTCCCCAGTAACTGGGACTACAGGCACAGGCTACCACACCTGGCTAAGTTTTGTATTTTTTATAGAGATGGTGTTTCATCATGTTGCCCAGGCTGGTCTTGAACTCCTGGACTCAAATAACTCACCCACCTCAGCCTCCCAAAGTGCTGGGATTAAAAGCATAAGCCACCATGCCCAGCTAGGGGCTCTGGTTTTTAAGGGCTTTACAGAGGCAGCTTACTTTAATGCCAGTCCTCTGCCCACTCCTCCCACAGGCAGAGACAGCTGCCAACCGGATCTGCAAGGTGCTGGCGGTGAACCAGGAAAATGAGAAGCTGATGGAGGAGTATGAGAAGCTTGCCAGTGAGGTGAGGCTGGGCCAGAGAGCCCCCTCCTACCATTCTCTCCCTACCCGGGTCCTACTGGCTCTCCCAACCCTGCTAACCCCAAGCACAGGCCTGCAGAGCCTCCCTCTGCTCAGAGTAGCCCTGGCTTCCTCCCAGCCTCCTGTCCGCCTCCACCCTTCTGCCAACCCAAGCTCCTGGTCAGTCACTGATTCACTCATCATTCATCTGTTTACTCACACATCAATCCATTCACTTATATTTAGATAGTCACACAGCCCTTTGCTCTGTACCAACCTATACTAGCCCCTGGACTCAGAAATCAACCATCCCCTCCTTCCCTGACTCGTGGAGACTACCCCATTCTGCCCTTCATAGTTGTCAAAGTCACCCTCACCTACCCTCTGGCCAAGGCCTGAGTGTGGGTGGAGAGGGGTGGGTGAGCTGAGCAGGTTGGCTCAGAGCTCTCTGCCTTGCCCCTGCCTGCCCCTGTCAGCTTCTGGAGTGGATCCGCCGCACTGTCCCGTGGCTGGAGAACCGTGTGGGTGAGCCCAGCATGAGTGCCATGCAGCGCAAGCTGGAGGACTTTCGGGACTACCGGCGCCTGCACAAGCCACCCCGCGTTCAGGAGAAGTGCCAGCTGGAGATCAACTTCAACACGCTGCAGACCAAGTTACGGCTAAGCCACCGGCCTGCCTTCATGCCCTCCGAGGGCAAGCTGGTCTCGGTGAGCTCTGCACACATTCCCTGGGTGACCTTGGGCTCCGTATCCCCATCTGTACAATGGGTGAACCGTGATGGAGGGCACCCCTGCCTGCCCCACAGGACATCGCCAACGCATGGCGGGGGCTGGAGCAGGTGGAAAAGGGCTATGAGGACTGGCTGCTCTCAGAGATCCGGCGCCTGCAGCGGCTCCAGCACCTGGCTGAGAAGTTCCGGCAGAAGGCCTCCCTGCACGAAGCCTGGACCCGGGGTAGGCATACCTACCTCACGGGGCTGGACTGTCTGTCTCCCGGGAGGGGAGGTTCTTGGCAAAATCCACAGGACAGGGGTAGGTGCTCTGCAGGGAAGCCGAGACTGGATTTCCAGTCCTACCCTGACGCTGTGGTGCAACCTGGGCCTCTCTTTGGGCCACTGGTTGTTTTGTTTTTTGAGATAGAGTTTTGTTCTATTACCCAGGACAGTACAATCTTGGCTCACTATAATCTCTGCCTCCCAGGCTCAAGTGATTCTCCTGTCTCAGCCTCCCTAGTAGCTGGAACCGCAGGCTTGCACCACCACGCCCAGCTAACTTTTTGTACTTTTTTTGTAGAGATCGGTTCTCACTTTGTTGCCCAGGCTGGTCTCAAACTCCTGGGCTCAAGCAATCCACCCACCTTAGCCTCCTAAAGTGCTGGGATTACAGGCATGAGCCACCATGCCCAGCCATTTCTTTATCTATAAACTCCCTCCCCACTGACTGCCCCGCCCTGCTCTGGTCTTCTGTAGGTTTGTTCTAATTCATCATGTAGCACTTTATATATATATCAGGTGTCCAAAAGTGAGTCAAGTGCTCACATCACCTATATCATACTCAAAATACTAACGCTAAAATATTGCATGAGTCAAGTATGTTACTCTGGATAGAAACATTAATTCGGTATTCTGTCGAGGATTTTATTGGTAAACAAAGGAGGCAAGGTCAGGGCCTAGAACACGTTAGGCCTGGGCGATCGTCACCTTAACAGATGAGGCTTCAAGGTCACACAGCCCAGCCGGCACCCCTGCCCCTGCTGCCACTGGGTGACCAGAGCCGGCCTCTCTTCGGGCAGGGAAAGAGGAGATGCTGAGCCAGCGCGACTACGATTCAGCTTCGCTGCAGGAAGTGCGGGCGTTGCTGCGGCGCCACGAGGCTTTTGAGAGCGACCTGGCGGCACACCAGGACCGCGTGGAGCACATCGCCGCGCTGGCCCAGGAGCTCAAGTAGGCGGGGCCTCTCGAGGCCCGCCCCCCGATACCGCCCTAATCCCCACTGCCCTCCTCAAGACCCCGACTCTCCCGAGTTCTGTAACCCCGCTGTGGCACACAGGTCCTTCCCTTCACCATTCGCTCCGACCCCTCCTGAAACCCCATCCCCATCTCTGGACCCCGCTCTGATGCCCACACTCTGCCCACTGGCACTCGACCTGTCCCACTCCATGGCCTGTCCTCCAACCTACTGCTCCAAACCCTCCGCATCAGCCTTGGCCTGGCCACCACTTCTCACACAGCCCTGCCCCTCCACCCAAGAGCACCTCCTGGACTGCAGCTAACGACGCGTGGGCACCCCCCCCCCCGCCCACGTAAATAAGCCAGGGCCCCCCCCCCTTTCTAGGAAAGCACCCAGCTTTACCCACCAGCTGCCCTGGCTCGCTCCAACACCTTTGCCCTGATGTGGGGCATGAGTTCCAGCCCTGGGAGTGCAGTTAGGACATCTGGGCTGGTGCTGGCCCCACACTCATCCCACTTTGCTCTCCTAGTGAGCTGGACTACCACGAGGCGGCCTCAGTGAACAGCCGCTGCCAGGCCATCTGTGACCAGTGGGACAACCTGGGTACCCTGACCCAGAAAAGGCGGGATGCACTAGAGGTGGGGCTGGGGGCGGGGGAACTGGGGGGTGTGTAGGGAGGTGAGGCCAGGTCTGCCAGGCAGGTTGCTGACCCGCTACGCCACCCATCCCTAGCGGATGGAAAAGCTCCTGGAGACCATAGACCAGCTGCAGCTGGAGTTTGCCCGGCGGGCCGCGCCCTTCAACAATTGGCTGGACGGTGCCGTGGAGGATCTGCAAGATGTGTGGCTGGTACACTCTGTGGAGGAGACCCAGGTGGGTGCCAGGGTTGCAGGAGACAGATGGGATGACAGAAAAGCTGGATTCAAATTCTGCTAGCCACAACTTTACACTCCTGGGGCACAGGGCTGGGAGGAAAACCCATTTCCGAGTGCTGGGCTACAAGACAGGAGGCCAGGATTCTTGTGTCAGGACTGCCCAGGACCACTGGGTGGCCTGGAGCACACTGCCTTTTCTGTTGCCTGTGTTAAGTGAGGACACCAGCTGATACTTCCTGTCACCCCCAGAGCCTTCTGACAGCACATGATCAATTCAAAGCAACATTGCCTGAGGCTGACCGAGAGCGAGGCGCCATCATGGGCATCCAGGGCGAGATCCAGAAGATCTGCCAGACCTATGGGCTGCGGCCCTGCTCCACCAACCCCTACATCACCCTCAGCCCGCAGGACATCAACACCAAGTGGGACATGGTCAGTGCTACCCGTAGCCTTCTTTCCGCCCCTTCCTGCACACTCTGACCACCCTGAAACCTCGGGTGGCCCAAGATATGGAGATTAAAGTCCATCTTCAAATCTGGGTTCTGCCACAGACTCCATGTGGGACTGGATACATCACCTTGCCTATCTTGGCCTCATCTGTATATGACGAGCCATTAACAGCAGCATTTTCCTGTAACAACTGAAGTGAAGTAGAATTAAGCCTTGTATGTGCACATCTTTTATGTGGACAACCACCCATATTAGTTATAAACGATGTCATCAGCCCCATTTTGCAAATAAGAAAACTGAAGCCCGTATAGATTAGTGACTTGCCCAAGAGCTTTCTCGTATATTCCAGAGAAGCTGGCACAAGGCAACAGGGGTTGAGGTTTGAGGGGCTAGAGCCCATCTCCCCTCAAAGCCATTTCCCAGCCACCAGAGCTAGTTTTGGCATAACTATCCTCCTCCCAGGTCCGAAAGCTGGTACCCAGCCGTGACCAGACACTGCAGGAGGAGCTGGCACGGCAGCAGGTAAACGAGAGGCTCCGGCGACAATTTGCAGCCCAGGCCAATGCCATTGGACCCTGGATCCAGGCGAAGGTGGAGGTAAGAGCTGGGATAGTGTGGCCAACCTGGGGGAGTGGGGCAAGGGCTGGGCCACAGGGAGTCGGGAGCTCTCATGATGACTGGGTACCCCTGCAGGAAGTGGGACGGCTGGCAGCGGGGCTGGCCGGCTCTCTGGAGGAGCAAATGGCTGGGCTACGGCAGCAGGAGCAGAACATCATCAACTACAAAACTAACATTGACCGACTGGAGGGTGACCACCAGCTGCTGCAGGAGAGCCTGGTGTTTGACAATAAGCACACCGTCTACAGCATGGAGGTGGGATCGCACCCTCTCAGTAGAGAGGGCAGGGAGATCACAGCTGGACAGAGCATGTGTGTCCCAGTAGGGTGCCCAGTTCAGCTTGGCCAGGTCCCTTAAGACCCAGCGACGGAAAGTGACCCTTCCAGAGTCACAAAGCAGTCCAAAGCCAGGCCAGGATTGGCCATAGCTGGTTAGGAGACAGGAAGGACTGCTCTGGGGGTTACTCAGTGGAGCCTCCAGATGGGGATGGAGGCCCAGTGAGGGGGAGGACTTGCCCAGGGTCATTCAGCAGACTGAGCGTGGAGCTAGAGCCAGTGGCCAGGCACTGGCTGCCCACTGACAGTGGCCTGTCCTCTGCCTGCCAGCACATCCGTGTGGGCTGGGAGCAGCTGCTCACCTCCATCGCCCGTACCATCAATGAAGTGGAGAACCAGGTACTGACCCGAGACGCCAAGGGCCTGAGCCAGGAGCAGCTCAACGAGTTCCGAGCATCCTTCAACCACTTTGACCGGGTCAGCAGGAGCCTGGCCCTGTAGGGTAAGACACTTTGGGGCTGGTGGGGTCTGGAGACAAAGCCTGATACCCACTCACCCCCTACAGAAGCGGAATGGGATGATGGAGCCCGATGACTTCCGAGCTTGCCTCATCTCCATGGGCTATGACCTGGTGAGTATCCCTCTTCTGTGCTGATCACCTACTGCAAGCCTCCCATCTTCACATACACTGCCCTCTGCACCTTCATCACATCCACACAGGGGCTAGCAAGGTTCAGAGGGGTAAACTCACTTGGACCCAGTTCTGTATGGACCCAAAATCTGAGCTTGTAACATTTTTACCTGTAGAAAAACAGGACTACGGAAATGGGGGGCCCTGGGAAAAAAATCAGGATCAGCTTCCTGCTGTAGCTCTCTGGAGGAGCAAATGGCTGGGCTTTTTGCAGATTTTGCAAATTTGCAGATTTCAGCCTACCATAAAGGACTTCGATCTCTGGAGGAAGGGAACATCCTGTCACCGGGGCTCTGCAAGCCAAGGCTGGATAGTCCCCAAGAGGAGACCCCAGGAGCCCTCCTGGCTTTAGTGATCATGGGCATAATGCCTGGCCTCTATCTCTGCAGGGGGAGGTGGAGTTTGCTCGCATCATGACCATGGTGGACCCCAATGCGGCCGGGGTGGTGACCTTCCAGGCCTTCATAGACTTCATGACCCGAGAAACAGCTGAGACCGACACGGCTGAGCAAGTTGTGGCCTCCTTCAAGATCCTGGCAGGAGACAAGGTAAGTTCCAGGCAGTTGAGGGGCTGGGGGGCTGGGGCAAGGCATGGGACCTGAGGGCCCTCGATGCCTCTTCTCCCCAGAACTACATCACCCCTGAGGAGTTGCGGCGCGAGCTCCCCGCCGAGCAGGCCGAGTACTGCATCCGCCGTATGGTGCCCTACAAGGGATCCGGGGCCCCGGCTGGAGCCCTGGACTATGTGGCCTTCTCCAGTGCCCTCTATGGCGAGAGCGACCTCTAACCTCAACCACTGACGTTCTCTATGCAAGATGGAGAGAGGGTGCACCCTGTGGTTGTTGATCCCATCTGTCCCTCAAGGGAAGAGCCTGAGAGAGTGACCGGCCAAGTGCTTCTGAATAAAGATCCCTCCGTGGGCCTCTCCCCATCTCCTTTTGATTCCTGAAGCAGAATCCGGGCCCTCAGGCTCCTGGGCAGAACCAGCTATCCCAGCTTGACCCTCCAGGAGTCCCCACCATCCCTCCTCACCTTGGGAACCGAGCATTCATACCACATTGGGGACCAGGACACCTCTTTATTGCTGTTAGAAAAGGGTGGCTACAAGTTTCCTGGACGTGGAGGGGGGACACTATCCCTAAATCCAAGGGAACCAGAAAATTTATAGTATCAGAGGAAAGCGGGGGCAGGACAGAGCTGGGGTGAGATTAGAACATCTTCTTCCTGCTCATTACCTGAGCCCAGAGTTCTTGCCCCAGCCTCAACTGCCAAACACCACCCTTCACCCCGAGAGCTTCACCCTGAGCTACCACAATTCAACAAAGGTGCAAGTGCAGAACTTCAGGTTGGGAGTGGGGTGCAGGGAAGCAGGGACTGTGCCCCAGCCCAGTGCCCTCTGCTCACCCTGAGGTACCCAGTGCCTGTCCCTCAGCCAGCTGTACCTCCCAAGTAGGGGCCTGGACACATGTCAGGTTGGGGCAGCAGCCACTCTGATCAGCACCAGGTCCTGAGCTGGGGGCCCCTCCTCAGTCCACCACCGCCGAGCTGGCCATGGTGTTCACACCACAGGCCCCAGACCCGCGATGCAAGTAGTAGTAACCCTGGGAGAGAGTGGGAGCTGGTGAGGGCACCAGGGTAGGATGGCAGCCTGGAGGGCCAAGGGCCAAGCCAGCAAGACTCACCTTCTCACCCCAGTCAGTGCCCCAGCTGTTCTTGATGGCCCAGAAGGGAATGTCAGAGCCTGGGGTGCGGTGCAGAGCAGAAGGTCAGGGCCCTGAATTCCCTAGGCAGAGCCTCAATCACTTGGCACCCTTCAAATACTTGCACTGGGCCTACTGAGTGACACGGACTAGGAAAAGAGCAGAAAGCGAGGGCCCCACCTACCAGCCTCAGGAAGACCTGGTCCAGCCCGGGGGGAGGGAGGAAACACGCACCCACTCACCTCTTGCAGGGTATTGGGCCATCAATATTCAACCTACCACAGCTCAGCTTCCCTTCCATAAAGGACAGATGATGCCCACCTGGCACCACAGCCCAGGTAGCAGGTAAAGAATAGGGTTCCTTAGGCATCCCCCCGATGTCCCCTCTAGAGGACCTGAGATGCTGTGGTCCCGCCCCTGCCTGTGGCCTGGCGGGATGCAAGACAGGCAGTGGAACTCACGGTTGCCATAGCCCACAAGCAACACCGCATGGTCGATCAGCCAAGGGCTGCAGAGGGGCCGGAGAGGGCGGGAGATCCCGTGGCGGTAAAACTGGAGGTGGAGGAGGAGTAGGGGATCAACTCCAAGAAGAGGTCAAGGAGGTCAACAAGAGATGCGACAGGGGCCGTGTCGCTAGGGTCTCACCTGCATGCCAAAGGCATTGATGGCAACAGAGATTGGGCCCCTCTTGGCCAGCCAGGCCGCCAGCTCTGAGAAGAGAAGGGGTGACATCAGAGGGTACCCAGGCCCCAGCCCCACCTGGCCTCACCTCACTCTGCCCCTCACTCACTCTGCTCATTCTGACTCAGCTCCACAGAGTCGTTGATGTAGACCTTGGCCTTCTCTGGTGAGAAGCTGCAGGCCTGCATGTGGCCCCGGTAGCTGTAGTCATCCTCTGTCTCCAGCCCTCCTGGGGAACAGTGGGGATGGGTAGAGAAGGATGGGCTCTCATTTGCCGTTGACAGCCTGAAGTGGACTAAGCCCCCTACACAAGGTCTCACATTCCTCGTTTACCCCAGGCCACAGGCCATCCCCTCTGAAGAATGTCTTCATTCTAGAAATAACACATCTGACGCTGGGAGAAGTAGGGAGGAGGGAGCAGTAGCCAGCAAGAAAAGTAGCAGAGACAGAACTGAATTCCAACTTCTGACTCCTGACCCAGGGCTCGGCCTAACAGTCTTTCACCCAGGCTGGAATGCAGTGGCACAAACACGCCTCACTGCAGCCTCAACTTCCTGGGCTCCAGCGATCTTCCTGCCTCAGCCTCCCAAGCTGAGACTACAGATGCAAGCCACCATGCCCAGCTAATGTCTTTAGCTTTTTGGAGAGATAGGGGTCTTGCTATGTTGCCCAAGCTGGGCCTGAACTCCTAGCCTTAAGTGATCTTCCCATCTTGGCATCCCAAAGTGCTGGAAATACAGGCATGAGCCATCATGTCTAGCCAGGTCAGCATTAAGACTTGAACCCAGTGCTGTGTGTTTCTCATGCTTATGTCTCCCCCCATCATAAACTAACTTCTTACAGAGGGAGAAGTGGCTCCTGTTGCCCCTCCTGACCCCATGAATGCATACCCAAATTCTTTATGGCTGAGTAGGCACTGGAGGGCAAGCCGCCCATGCAGGCCTTGTCAATCTTGTCACAGTCCAAGAGCTCTAGGAGACAGAAGGCTGGTCCTAAGAAGCCCTCCTGAGGGGCTAGGCTGGGGACACATGGGTAGAGCGAGATGCTCACCCTGCTCAGAGAGGGAGAGCAGGGTCCCCTGGTTCAGAAACCACTGGCCCTCCACGTTGCCTGTGACTGAGAAGGCCCAGCAGGAGCCGCACATGCCCTACGAGAGATGGGTAGAGTCAGAGCTGGATCCCTGCGCCAGCCCCAGTGCTGTGCCCATGTCCCACCCTCACTTCTAGGAGTCCAACCTGGTCCTTGACTTTTGTGACAGCCCCCTTACTCCTCCAGTCCCATTCAGGCGGGGCGAGGTCACCCACAGACTTGGCTTGTTTCATCTTCTTGCCAGGCTCTTCTCTCAGGAGAGGATTCAGGTAGATAGTACGGAACTCCTCCTCTGTGGGCAAAGGTGGACAGGGCAGGAGGAAGAAGAGTGTTCTAAGCCAGACCTGACCAGAGGCCTTGCGAGCAAGGCCCTGTCTCTTCCTGGCTCCGTGAGGACTTGGCCACTCCCCCTACCTGTGAGATCACTGAACTTGGTGACTCCATACTGAGCTGTACCTCGGTCCAGAGCCTGGATCTTCTGGGCTCGCACCATGTTATGGGCAAAGATGGACAGGCGCCACTGGGCTTCTGAGGACCAAGGAGCAGAAGAGGAGGGGCTCAACCCCAGGCAAATAATAAAAGGGCAATCCGCTGGGTACAGTGGCTCACGCCTGTAATTCCAACACTTTAGGAGGCCAAGGCGGGTGGATCACGAGGTCAAGAGATCGAGACCATTCTGGTCAACATCGTGAAACCCCGTCTCTACTAAAAATACAAAAATTAGCTGGGCATGGTGGCGCACGCCTGTAGTCCCAGCTACTCGGGAGGCTGAGGCAGGAGAATTGCTTGAACCCAGGAGGCGGAGGTTGCGGTGAGCCGAGATCGCGCCATTGCACTCCAGCCTGGGTAACAAGAGCGAAACTCCGTCTCCAAAAAAAAAAAAAAAAAAAAAAGAGGAGGGCAATTGAGGACAGCAGGCAGGGGTTTCCCGGGGGAACAAGCAGGGGTGGGAGTCAGACGTGCAAGTGATGGAATGGGAGGTCTGATCAACTTTTGGGGTCAAACGGAAGAGATGACTTCCCAGGTACAAAACCAATAAATGGGGTCTAGAGGACACCACCCAAAAGAGGTGGTGGGGAAAGGCATGTTGTCAAGGACTCTCCAGCACAAAAGATCTGGCCTCTGCCCCCATACCCTGCCCAGAGTGATGAAGACCCATGGCTGGGTTTTTTTTGTTGTTGTTTTTTGTTGTTTTTTTTTTTAAAAAGAGTTTTCCCTCTTGTCACCCATGCTGGAGTGGAGTGGCGCAATCTCAGTTCACTGCAACCTCTGCCTCCAAAGTTCAAACGATTCTCCTGCCTCGGCCTCCTGAGTAACTGGGACACAGGCGTGTGCCACTACGCCCAGCTGATTTTTGTGGGGCTTTTTTAAGTAGAGGTGGGATTTCACCATGTTGGCCAGGGTGGTCTTGAACTCCTGACCTCAGGTGATCTGCCCACCTTGGCCTCCCAAAGTGCTGGGATTACAAATGTTAGCCATTGCGCCCAGCCAAGACACATGGCTTCTGACTGGGAAGATAGCGGGAGACGAGACCAGGTACTCCGAGTGGCTGCCCAGGCCAGGAAGGCTAAAGGAGAGCTCAGGAATTACGGGGTCCTGGAATAGGTACACTACTTCTCGTCTTTCCCCTCTCCCAAAGTGCCAAGTTGGGGAGAAAGTGCCGTTCTGATTGTAACAGGTACAGCCAAGGCTGGGTCCTCACCTTCCTTTGACTCATATGTCCGGTTATAGGTAATGACAAAGTTCCTGAAGATTGAAGCCATCTTCACAGTCAAGTCCTGGATAGGCAGACCGATCTTTAGCCTAGCCAGGGAAACCCACTCCAAGAGGAAAAGAGAGGGCGATGAGGCAGCGGCTGGCTCCCCAAGCTACAGGCTCCTCACCTGGGGCAGGGGATCCTCATTCAACAGTGAAAAATACTGGCTGAAAGTCTCGTTTCCATTGTCTGGATGGGGTTGGGACAGAGAAGAAATCATGACTGAGCCCTGAGTGAAGGCTGACTTGGGCTCCCCAGCAGCCTTGGGCTCTCTCAGCACCTGGAACCTTGGTGTCCACCGGGCCACAGTCTTTCCGCAGCAGCACGTGTTTTCCAAGCTCATCTAGGACTTCGAAACTGCAGAGCTGGAGGGAGAGAAAGAAGCTGCCCTGGGGGCCTGGATGGGAGCAAGGTCTGGGCAAGATGGAGCTGGAGGCTCCTCAGATGAGGGGCACTCCTAAGGCAATCACCCCCACAGTGGACATCTTCCCCGCGCTTCAGAGCATCTCGGTTTCTGGCCCTCGAGGCCTGGGAAGGGGTTCAGGGTGGGGCAGCAGCTGCCTCAGATCCCTGCCTCTTGACCTGAACTGACATCATCCAACTGCTGCCTTACTCAGCCCGGGGGCACGGAACCCCTAGAGCCCCATCACTCACCAGGGTTTTCTTGGACACAGGGAGCTGGCACACCAGGGGGTCATTG